GTATGCTTGCAGCCGTTTCTGTATTACCTTTTGTAAAACTTTACTCGCATGGGATATCAAAGAGATTATCCGATGATTTCTGCATTACATTGTGTCATCTCTCTTTGGAATGGGCCCAAATATGGATCTTTTCCAACCAGTTGGCCAGATAGCTGTCTTCCAAATTTCTTGGCAGAGATGAGTGAGTGCCTCCAGCACCACCTCACTTTCTTGAAAGATCTCAATTTTTATTCTACCAGTTCCCGGTGTCTTGTTCTTTGCCAATTCCTTCAACGCACCTTGGACTTCTTCCTTCAGTATCATTGGCTCTTGATCATATGCTACCTCTTGAAATGGTTGAACATCAACCATTTCCTTTTGGTACAGTGAAACTGTGTATTCCTTCCATCTTCTCTTGATGCTTTCTGCATCATTCAATAATTTGCCCAGATAATCCTTCAGTAATGAAGGATAAGGCTTGAATTTTTTCTTCAGTTCCCCCAGCTTGAGAAATGCTGAACGTGTTCTTCCCTTTTTGTTTTCTGACTCCAGATCTTTGCACATTTCATTGCAATATTTAATTTTGTCTTCTCGAGCTGACCTTTGAAATTTCTGTTCAGCCCTTGTACCCCCTCTCATTTCTTCCATTTGCTTTAGCATCTCTACGCTAGAGAGTAAGTTTCAGTGTCTCTTTTGACATCCATTTTGATCTTTTCCTTCTTTCTTGTCTTCTTAATAACTTTTTGCTTTCTTCCTGTATGTTTTTGATGTCATCCCACAACTTTTCTGGTCTTCGGTCTTTAGCGTTTAATATATCAAATCTGTTCTTCAGATGATCTCTAAATTCAGGTGGGATATATTCATGGTCATATTTTGGCTCTCATGGACTTGTTTTCATTTTCTTCAGCTTCAGTCTGAATTTGCATATGAGAAATTGATAGTCTATTCAACAATCTGCCCCTGGCCTTGTTTTGACTGATGATATGGAGCTTTTCCACCATCTCTTTCCACAGATGTAGACAATTTGATTTCTGTGTATTCCATCTGGTGAGGTCCATGTGTATAGTTGTTTCTTATGCTGTCTAAAGAAGGTATTTGAAATGAACAAATCATTGGTTTTGCAGAATTCTATCATGCAATCTTCAGCATCATTTCTATCACCAAGGCCATATTTTCCAAAACTGATCCTTCCTCTTTGTTTCCAACCTTTGCATTCCAGTCACCAGTAATGATCAATACATCTTGGCTGCATGTTTGATGACCTTCAGATTGAAGCAGTTGGTAGAATTCTTCTATTTCATCCTCACTTGCTTTAGTGGTTGGTGCTTAAATTTGAATAATACTGGTATTAACTGGCCTTCCCTGTTGTTGTTAAGTGCCATCGAGTCAGTTCTGACCCATAGCAACCCTGTATAGGGTTTCTGAGGAGCAGCTGGTGAGCTTGAACCACTGACCTTGCAGTTCAAACGGCTTTGCAGCCTGGCGTATAACCCACAGCACCACACCACACCAGGACTTCAGTCTTCCCTGTAGGCACATGGATATTATCCTATCACTTACAACAGAGTACCTCATGACTGATCTCAGTATGTTCTTTTTGACAATGAATACAACACCATTCCTCTTCAATTTGTCATTCCCAGCATAGTTAACCATGTGGTTGTCAGATTCAAAATGGCTAATACCAGTCCATTTCAGCTCACTAATGCCTAAGATATCAATGTTTATGTCTTACATTTCATTTTTGACAATTTCCAAATTTCCTAGATTCATACTTCATACATTCCATGTTCTGATTACTAGTGGATGTTTATAGCTGTTTCTCTTCATTTTGTGTGTAAATGAAGGTCCCATGAACTTTACTCCCATGGGCTTTACTCTGTCCACATCATCATGGTCAACTCTACTTTGAGGAGGCAGGTCTTCCCCAGTCGCATTTTGAGTGCCTTCCAACCTGAAGGGCTCATTTTCTGGCAGTGGCTTAAGAAAATATCCTGAAAACCAACTTCCCATGAATTTTTGAGGAAGGGTGAGGGAGTGAAGGAAGAGGGAAGATAATGCCAGCAGATATGGCTTTGGTGCCCCATATTATTTTAAATCTTTCTAGAATACTGGTTCCTACTGAACTATTTGTTGTTGTTAAGTGCAGTTGAGTTGGTTCCAACCCATAGCAACCTGGTATAGCGACCCAGTATAGGGTTTCTGAGGAGCAGCTGGTGAATTTGAACCACCAACCTTGCAGTTCAAACTGACCTTGCAGTTGAGTGCTTGGACATACTAGTGGTCTCATTTTCTGCTATATTCCGGACATAGTAACACCCAAGAGTCATTTGAGGATTGAAGGGATAGATGGATAGATGGTGGATAGATGGGTGGGTGGATGGATGGATAGATGGTGGATGGCTGGGTGGGTGGATGGGTAGAAGGATAGATGGTGAGTGGGTGGATGGATGAATGAATGGATGGATGGGTGGATGGACAGATGGATGAAGGGATGGATGGTTGGTGGATGGGTGGATGGATGAGTGGATGGATGGATGGGTAGATGGACAGATGGATGAATGGGTGGATGGATAGATGATGGATGTGTGGGTAGATGGATGAGTGGGTGGATGGATGGATGGGTGGGTGGATGGATGGATAGATGGTGGATGGCTAGGTGGGTGGATGGGTGGGTGGATGGATGGACAGATGGATGGATGGATAGATGGTGGATGGCTGGGTGGATGGATGGATAGATGGTGGTTGGCTGGGTAGATGGATGGATGAATGGATGGGTGGGTGGATGGATGGATGGACAAATGGATGGATAGATAGATGGAGGGAGGGGTGTATGGATGGTGGATGGGTGGATAGATGGATGAATGGAGGGGTGGGTGGGTGGATGGGTGGACCGATGGATGGATGGATAGATGGTGGATGGCTGGGTGGGTGGATGGATGGATGGATGGATAGATGGTGGATGGCTGGGTGGATGGATGGATAGATGGTGGATGGCTGGGTGGATGGATGCATAGATGGATGGATGAGCTGCTTGTGCTGTGGTAAGTGTGACTATGGCAGCAGTTCTAAGTCAGTTAATAGAAGAGCACAGACTCTGCTCCCCAGAGAAGCCCTACCCAAGGAGCTGGCATCTCTGTGTGACACAGGTGGAGACCTCTAATGAATGCCCCAGATGATGATTTAGTGGAATCAACTTTGTACCTTGTCTGGGGAGTATATCAGGACTCCCCTTGGTATTTACAGATGGAAATCAAAACAGACTCCTGTTTGCCCCGAGTGCCCAAGTGTTGTGGGTACATTCTCCTTGGTGCCTTCCCTCCAAGGTGTTGACAGCTGATGTCATTGTGACCTCCGTCCTAGCTTAAGTCCTACCATCTCTCTCCTAGACACCTACAAGAGCTTTGTAGCAGAGCTCCCTGCCACCACCTGTTCCCCTTTCTGGATCATCCTGTGGTTGTTATAAGGACCACTCTGAGCAGCCACTCCCTGGCTCAAAACTTTGTGTTGCCTGACCCATAGCCACAGAATGGTATAAGTGTGCCCCACACCCCTCAGTGTTAGTTATACCGACCCCTCCCGTTATTCTCTCAGTGAACAATTACTGCATGCCTACCTATGAGAGGTGGCAGAAGGTGTGCTCAAGAGCCTGGACAGGGGGTCACACTGGGTTCAAATCCTTGAGGAAAGTTGTATAACCTGGCTGAGCCTCACCCGTCTTCTGCAGAGGCCACTGTGAGAATGTGGGGAGTACTCAGCACAGAGCCTGGAGTGTAGCAAATGCTTGATACAAGTTAGCTGTTTGTACTAATCGCTAGCCACCTGGAAAGCCAATCATGACAAGAGGGTGTGAGAAGTGCCCAGGAGGCTCTGCCAGGACTCTAACAATGGCACCTCATAAGGTTCTGGAGGAAAGGAGGGGGTGGTGTCTCAAAATGCCACAAAGATGATGAACCATTTGTCTTGAACAGCAAGCAGAAGAGGTTAACAGGCAAGAATCCCAGTTAGAGGAAACAGCATCGGCAAGGATGGGGGAGCTTGGTACCTGCAGGGGAATTGCACCTGGGTTGGCTGGGCTGGGGTCAAGAGTGGGAGCCGAGGAGACAGGCCAGAAAGGCAGACTGAGGAGATGGTAATGATCCTCGAAAGACAGGCTAAGGAATTGAACTTGGCACAGAAAGCAATCGGGAGTCTGCGTGGGAGAGCAGCATGGCCAGAGTTGTTTCCCCCCCCCCCAAAGATTCCTCCATCTGCAGAGAATGTAGTGGGGCCATCAGACGGGGCAGATTTAGTGACTTGGAGATCAACTGGAAGGTGTGTGTCCTCGTTAGGGAAGACACGCTAAAGGCTTGAGCTGAAGTAAGCCCAGTGGAAGCTCAGAGACAGTTAGGATGCAGAATTGAATGGCGCTGGTGACCCATTCATTAGATTTTGGGGCAAATGCACAAACGTCCAAGACAAATAGAATGGGCACCACTGGTGTGACAGATGATGCTCCGGTATTCACCACAGGCCGCAGAGTGTCGCTTCGATTTGCTAGACAGCAAGGAGCCCAAGGAGACACATGCCCAAGCATGCTGTGACGAAAAGGCCATTTCTAGAAAATTCCTCTGGTAAGATTACGTGTGTGGGCTGGACTGACAGGAACCAGTAAGAACTGGCTCATGGTCCTGGCAGGACTTGAGGGTCTGCACAGGAAGGTGGTGATGGGAAAGGAGGCAGAAGTTCCCAGAGGCTGCCTGAAAGAGGGCCATGGGCGGCGTTGTGCCTGGCTGGCTTTTGGGACCAGGGAGGTGGGAGGGAGGAGGGAACGAGAGAGAACTGTTTAGCACCAAGGTGCGTCATGAGAACGTGGCACATGGATGCTGGATGAGCACCTGGTCGGAGTCAGCCACTGGAGGATGCGAACATAATCTCTCCCTTGATGGTACACAGAAGGTGCTCATTAGTGATGTGAAATCGACTGGATTGGACACCAAGCACATAGAAGTCCCAGAAAGCAAGCAGGACCAGCAACTTACCTGTGCAGAGCTCCTGTGGTAGGGGGAGTAGTGGAGTGGTCCAGAGATGGCTGTGTCATGAGGCAGGGCCGGGTACTGGCTCTGCATGGGATGAGGATGTTGGTTACCATAGCTTCCATAGTTGTAGCTTCCTGTGTACCTAAAATCCATTAAGCACATGGACTCTTGTGAGTAGAACAGGGAGAACCCATGGGTTTGCACCTTTCAAATATCAATGTCATCAGTTTTTTTTTGTTTTTTTTTTTTTCTTTTAATGCTCCTCTTTATTTATTTTTTTCTTTTTGAAGCCCTAGCTACTTTTTGAACGTTACCATCCCCTGCCTGTGGCCCTACGGCAGCTAAGTCTCAATCCCCTCAGCACACTGTGAACTCACCTCCCTCACCACCCAACCAGTGCTCAGGGAATGAATGTTTGCCCTGAGCAAAACACAATTAATGATGGAAACCTCTAGTCCCAGTTTCTTTAAAAAAAAAAAAAAAAGCTCCATTTTGTACCCATAAGTCAAATTAGAGTCAAAGTAGAAATTCTGTTGGGATTCATGCTTTCCTATTACTCAGCCTCTGTGTCTCTGTTGTGGGGAAGGGCCTCTCCTGGGGACGCCACAGCGCGTGCAGGGTTTGTCAGCCTCTGTGCCCTTGGGTGGCCCCCAATCCTGTTCCTCACACCTGTGGAAATACTGCACAGGGCTGTTCTGGGGATTATGCGTGTGTGCTAGCAAGCCCGGTGGTACAACAGCTAAACGCTCAGCTATTCAGCCAGTGGTTCTGCAGAGAAAAGATCTGGTGATCTGCTTACCACAGCCAACAAAGTCCTATGGGACCACTCTGGTCTGTCACAAGAGGCCACTAGGAGTCGAAAACGGACGGACACCACAAACGTGTAAAAGATACTGTTATCACCAGTGTTCTTCAGAACAACTTTGCACCAAGATGTGACCCCAAACAGGTGTCTTGTTCTGCCGCTCCTGCAGAACCACACAGATCTCTCAAACAGTTTTAAAAATCCATTCAACTCTGCCCTCTGGACCCTCTCAGGGACACGGGGCGTCTGCAGGTGGACACCTGACCCCACTAAACTGGGCCACCTGTCTGGAAATGTGCTCAGGGGTCCTCCTACTACTGTCCCGGCCCACATGGCTGCACCACATTCTTGAGGACAGGGGCCCTTTGAAACAGCACAAGTGGTTTAGACCACTGCCCATCAGACATCACAATATTAGTGTCTTTCTACAGAAGAGTAATAAGATACTGTGAGTCAGAGAACACTTTTGAATAGGTTTTTGGTTTATTCATTACAGAAACATCACAGCATAATTTTTTTTTTTTTCTAATACGGGCAAAAGTATGGGCTGGTAGCTTAGTGGTTACAAATTGGGCTGTGAACCTCAGGGTCAGCAGTTCGAAACTACCAGCTGTTCTGTGGGAGAAAGATGAGGCGTTCTGCTCCCATAAAGATGTATAGCCTTGGAAACCCAGTACAGGGTCGCTATGAGTCAGAACTGACTCCACGGCACATAACAATAACAACAACAAATATGGGCAAAAACAGATGCCTTGTAATATTGAGGGCACAAAGAACCACTGGAACCCACCTGGGGTTCCCAGAACCCCACTAAACCTTGCATCCCTTCTAGGACCTCCAGTTCTCAGGGTGGAAACCAGTATTCCAAACAGAGTCACAAAACACTCAGACCTACCCTCAAGTTTTACAGGCGACAAAGGCTTCAAAGTGCTGGGAGGGGAGCTTGATGCTGAGGGGTTAAAAGACTGAGGAGGAGAACATTGGCTTTGGAGTTACCTGGGCTGCCAGACCTGACCTCCGGCAACTTAAGTCAATCAACCGAGCCTCCATCTCCTCATCTGTGAAATGGCTCACCAACACCAACCTAGCTTCGCTGTTGTGGGGAATTACATGAGGAAGTGAGTGGCACATATTCCAGGGCTGGGCACACAGTGGATTTTGACAAAGGGGAGCGCTCCTCCTGTCCGTGGAGAAACCCGCTGCAGAGCAAATCAAATTTAGAGGTAGGCCGCAGTCCCACAAAACCACCTACCCGTGCTCATCTCTGTGGGGGTACACTGGTATCCTGTGTGTGACAGACGAAGAAGGGACGTGCGTACTCCTCATACAGGGCAGCTGTTGGGAGTTTTCAGCTGGGGAGCCAGCAGCTGTCGTCACTGTGTATGTGAGGGACCACGTATATGACTGCATCGCTCCTGCAGGGGACACATGGAGATGCATCAGTCACCAGCGCGGTTCTTGGACCCCCAGATCGTCCTCGGGGCCCTTTATAGTTGTCCTACAGTCCATCAGGCAGAGAGCCAGAATCTTTATAAGACCAGTCTCTGGCCCCACTGGTATTACCAGACCCACCCTTCCTCTCTCTTATCACTCTTCCCATCCCCTCCTTTTAATCTGTCTGATCAAGCCATAATACCCTTTCATTTTCTCCAGGGTATCATCATTTTCAGTACCACAGGGCCTTTACACATGCTGTTTCAGCTGCCTGAAGCCCTCACTCTTCCCTTAACTCCCAATTGTTCTTCATATCTCAATCCAGAAAAACTGTCCCCTAGGTCATATCCCTCAAGGAACTGTAGGCCTTCGTGGCTCCTACTGCAATTTGTAACATTGCACCTGGGAGTGACCATGTTTATTTGATTAATACTTATCCCCCCGACCAAAGTAGAAGCTCCATGAAAGTAGGGGCCTTATATGAATCTCCTACCATTGGATCCCCAGTGCTTGGCACAGAGCTAAGGGTCTCAATAAATATTTTTAGAAGGAAGAAATGGGAAAGAGAAGAAAGAGGGGAGGACGGAGGAAATAAAGACTGGTCCAGTGTACATTATGAGGTGCAATAAAATCACGTCTCAACAATCAACTAGGTGTTAAGGATTCAACAAATTGCTTTAAGCAAATTTAAGTAGATTATTGGGCCCTGCTTGGCCAGGTCTTTTGGAAGATTATTAGACAGTGACCTGGGCAGTGACCTATGCTATCATTATTGTTAAGTGCCATCGAGTCAGTTCCGACTCATAGTGACCCTGTATAGAGTTTCCAAGGAGCAGCTTGTGAGTTTGAACTGCCGACTTTGTGGTTCAAACCAACCTTGAGGTCCAGTGCTTTATCTTTTAGCCACACCAGGACTCCCAATTGATCCTATATGTTTTATTAATTCTACTTATTTACTGTTTAATTGGGGTCCTGGTATGGTGCTGTGGGTTAATGCGCTGGACTGCAAAGTCGGTTTGAACCGCAAGGTTGGCAGTTCCTTGGAAACCCTACACAGGGTTGCTGTAAATTGGAATCGACTCGACAGCATTTAGCAACACCAACAACTGTTTAATTGGATACCTTGAAAGTGCTAGTGGCTGGGAAGATATCCAACAAAATGAAAAGCCCTCAAGATGCTTGGAATTTTATAAAATGACCATCGCATAAAAAAGGAAGATGGTTGTTTCAGAAACCACCAATAGAAACCATAAGCTCATCAGACAATCTGCTTGCTGATACATTTATAAATGTGCTACTATAGTGGACATCAATAAACCCACACAAAACCTGTCTCACAAGGTGGAAGGAGTCGGATCCAACACTCTTTTTCAGGCGCATGGAAAACTGAAGAGTTGGTTAAAGGAAAGCCAATTTTGAAGGTCTTCCAAGTCTGTGTTTTCTGCAGCAGACCATTGCTGTCTTGAAATTCCATTGGGAAGATACAGGAAAGGTTTCCATCTTAAAAATTCACTCCTGTCCCATCCCGAGGACTTTGCAAATAGCACACCGAGTGGCTGGACTGACATCCCGTAGGTGCGTTGACATTGAACACGTACGTCAACATCAAGGAGCAGGAGGAGGAAGCAAAACGTTGGTGGATCAGCCCGGAGTCAACAATGAGACACTCGGTACCTTTCAGAGCATCTTTAAAGTTATGTAGAAGTGGAATTCTATTTTAAATATACTGCTTTGTTATTAAGAGATTCCTGTAGTAATCCTTTTGTAACTGGGAGAATTTCAGAAGGCAAATAAATATCTCCCTTTCCCCTTTGTTTAACGGAATCAGGAAGATTCATTCCAAGAGCATGAAAGGAAACAGCATTCCCTGGCACCTACTACAGACCAGGCATGGTGCTAAATGTTTTACAGACACCCTCCAGAGAAATATTATCCCCAGTTCACAGATGATGAAACTGAGGGCTCTGTCTCTAAACAAAAAACTTCAGGAAGCTTCTAGGAATACAGAAGGAGTCACTGATGATAACAGTGGTTAAAGTGCTCAGCTGCGCACCAGAAGGCCCCCTGTTCAAACCCACCATCTTTCTGTAGCTGTAGCAGCCTGCCTCTGTAAAGGTGATAGCGTTGGAAACTCTATGGGGCAGTCCTACTTTGTCCCTTAGGGTTATTGAGTTGGAATTGGTTCAATGGCAATGATACTTTTTTCTTTCTATGAAAAAATATGTTTATTAGATTCAAGAAGTGGGCGTGAGAGAAAAAAACCAAAGTGGAGACAAAAGAAGCAGAATAAGGAATGAGGTGAAATCAGGCACACCCTAAAGCTCCATATTCTTCCCATCAGTGGGCCTTAAACTGGACCCTGAGTTCTCCCAAAACCCACGCTAAAAGGGAAGCCTGGCCCAGTTAGGAGGCATGGGTAGCATATGAACTGCTTAGGAGCTCATTGTCCTTGGAATTAAGAGACACCCAGAATTTCTTTCCAGTGCCCTCATAGAGCGGGAGCTGAGCTGTACAACAGCGTCCGTAACAACACCCCTACGGCGGAATGTGTGTCTCAGTTCTTAAGATGGTTCCTTATGTCAACACTTAGTGTAGGCTGGTGGCATTACACAAAAGTCCTATCGAGGGAAATGCGAAATAACTTCCCCAAATCCCCACAGTGAGCATGTGGGCCAGTGGGGTTCTGAATCCTGGTCTCTCACGTGCTTTTACATACGAGCTCTTCGCTCTGGGTCCTGGTTCTGCCACCTACTGCCTATAAGATCTGGTGCAAGCCTCTGACACTGTCTGAGCCTATGTTGTATCATCTGTAAAACAGGAATAATCAGAGCTATCTGGAAAGACTCTTGTAAGATATTATGTCAAACCCCTGGTTTTGGTAAGCTCTTAGTTACATTCAAGCTTGACCCTGTAGGATAAGTACTGGACTGCTAACCGAAAGGCTGGAGGTTCAAACCCAAACCCACCATTCACTCCTCTACAGGGCAGCTATGAGATGGAACCGACTCAGTGGCACTTACAGCAACACTGTGAAAGGAGCCCGGGTGGTACAGCATTGAGGCTGCTCACTGAAAGGTCGGCAGCTGGAACTCCCTAGCAGCAGCAAAACAGCGAGGAAGTCGGCTTCCATAAGGATGTACCGCCTTGGAAACTCTGTGTGAGTCTGTCCCACAGGGAGCTCTGGTAAGGTAGCGGTTACCAGTTGGGCTGCTAACCTCAAGGTCAGCAGTTCGAAACTACCAGCTGTTGTGCGGGAGAAAGATGAGGCAGAATTTCTGCTCCCGTGATGATTTACACCCTGTACAGGGTGGCTATGAGTCAGAATTGACTCCACAGCACATCACCACCACCGTACGGTGGTTATGAGTCAGAATCAGCTCGATGGGTTTGGTTAGGGTTAGGGTCTTCACTGTGAATTCCGGAGTTCTTATGTCAGACTTTCTGGAAGTAGAAATTCCTGCACTTTCTATTTCAGACCCCATAGAAGACAGACAAGTTTCTTGAGTCAGATCCTATCCCCAGGGATGAAACAATAACACAAATGGCTCAGCTAATAATAGTAAATTGCTATAGAGTTTCTTCTGTAAGATTTCTAGTGTCGTTATTCACCAGTAGTATCCCCAGTTTATAAATGAGGAAACAGGGTTAAGTTAACCATAAAGTCAGTATACTGTTCAAACCCGTAGCCACTCCTCGGGAGAAAGCTAAGGCTGTCTGCTCCTATAGGGTTACAGTCTCACAGAGGCTATATCGAGTCACTCAGAACTGGAACCAACCCAGTGGCAGTGGGTTTTGGTTTATAGAAATACAAGAGATTCAAGAAGTAGGAGTGGAAAAAAAGGATTCTTCCAAAAAAAAAATTTTTTTTTAAAAATGGCTTGAGCAGACTACCTGTTGTTTTGTTCTTATTAAGTGTCGTCAAGTCAGTTCCAATTCATAGAGTTTCCAAGGAGCAGCCAGTGGGTTTGAACTGCCAACTTTGTGGTTAGCAGTCCAGTGCTTATCCTACAACGCCACACCAGGACTACTTGTTGTTTTTGTTAAGTGCATCAAATTGATTCTGACTCCTAGCCACCCTGTATAGGGTTTCCAAGGAGCGACTGGTGGGCTTGAACCACTGACCTTGCGGTCCAGTGCTTATCCTACATCACCACACCAGGCATCATTAAGAATAAGTGCAACAATACTCCCCAAAGGCTCACATCTCAGATAATTGGATCGTGCGTGGGTGCTGTCTGCTATTTTCTGAACTTCGTATAAAATTGTATTACTTATATAATTAAACAAAACAACAAAACCATCCTTTCTAGCAGCTTATTTCTGGGTGGTAGGAATTGAAGAGAATTTTTTTTTTCACTGTATCTGTATATTTCTATAAGGAAAATGTATCGCCTCTATAAGAGAAGGACGAGGTTAAAGCATACTAAGTGCATTTTACAGTTGGAAATGGAATTGGAGGGGAGGTGGGAAGCTTGGGAGAACAGTGGACCAGCAGCCCCAGCCAGCAAGTAATTAACCCTTCCAGCCCCTGGCCCCTCAGGAGAGCACAGGGAGGTCAATGGGTACCTGAAGGGGGCAGCTAAGCAGCCCAGGGGGCTTTGTTTTTTTCCCAAGCGGTGGGAAGATGGAGAGGTAACAGTCATCACCTCAGGGTTACTTTTGTGTGGACTCCTGGCCCACAGAGACTGCCCCTGGGTCACTTCTGTGTCCCCAACCAAGGGTCTGCCAAATAGTAGGTGTGCAATAAATTTTTGTTCCATTGAATTTGTTGTCAAAGGAGTAAATGCTGTTAGAAATAGACGTTATCAAACAAAAAGCTAGTGGAACTCTTGGAAAAAGGGGCTCCTGTGGTCTGGGAAACAAAAAACCTTAAATGGCCTTGTGCCAGCAGTCTAAATGCTTCAGTCAGGCAGGCTTAAGCAGATTAGCACCTACCGGCTTGGGTGAGAAACTCTCCCGGCCTGCGGCCTGCGGAGGAGTT